GCGTCCAAGGTTGCTATTGGGGCTGCGGAACGGGCGTTCTTTGACCCGACGATGGTTAGTTTGTTGTATTTCCCAGATGAGCACAAGTTGGCGGTTTATTTGCCCTTGTTTTTGCCGGTTGGAGGTGAGTTTTGTTATTTTAATTCTTCTTGTATGAGAAACTGATTTGATGTTCTTTCAGTGCCATTGTTGCAGACGATTGCGGCGGAGGTCAAGAAAAAGATTGCTCAAATGAAGGGAAGGGGAAAAAAAGAAAAGACAGAATAAACTTGTGCTGTACTTTGGGTTCCTGTTTGGTTGTGTTGGGTTGTTCTTGTTTGCGGGTGACATAAAAGTATTCAGTAGCAAACAACATTTCGAAGATAATTTCATATTTTCACCGGTACCTTCCTCTTCGCTGCAAAGAAATTTCAAGAAATTGAAAGCCTTCCTTTCCGTGATACCTCAAAGCTGGTCAACGTGCAGAAATTTGATAATCCACTTCAAATTGAGTGTAGTTGGATTTTATGAAAACAGTGGGCTGGTAAGGTATTAAATTAGCGTAATATTGCGAGATTTCGTATAGCTGATTACACATTGTTTTATTTGACAGCTATTGATGGGTTAGAGTGGTTTGGTAGGATATGCATCCCAACATAATTCCTCCCCGCTTTCTAGAAAGCATGATCATTCCTGTCAGGATAACTCTGTGCGGTAGCGGCAAGTCGGGCTTATCGAGTATAGAAAGGCTGAACAACGGCTTATGAGGTTCAGGGGAGGGCTGCAGGACAATGCACGATTGTCGCGTTTTTCAGAAGATTTCTCTTCCTATATATTATTGAACAAAACCGATGGGCATAGCCAAATTCTGACAATTCCCAAGTACGCAACACATATTTAAGCATTAAATAATGTAAGGAAGCTATAGCTATAATGATGTTTTCGTCTTTCATATTTGACTTTAGTTTCCTCTATCTCTTTGCCTCTCCAACGTTCAGCTGCCTTCTTAGCTCAGTTGGTCAGATCGCCTGCCTAGTATCGTACGAACAGCTAGCAGGAGGCCACCAGTTCAAATCTGGTAGAAGGCAGCCTTTTAGTGGTGTTGTGTTTGTTTGAGTTGTTCAAGTTACTCCATTGAAGGACGGAATGGGCATTGCGGATCCAGATTTCGCAATCCATCAATATCATACTAAATATATATAACTTGCAGAAGAGATTGCAGAGGGAATGATAGCGGAGTCCAAGTAATCTGAGCAACTTTTTCGGAAATCATCACAGAAATCATCACCAACACTCACACCTCCACTTCTGTTACCAACCTAACCACGAACTCAGGAAACGGCAATGTTTGAATAAAAAAGAGCTGAAGCACTCTCGACAGCAGCAACGAAGCAAATTCCGTATTGCATCGCCCACCCCAACCCCATCCAACAAACTACGCCTCTGTTACTGCCGCTCAAAACGACAACGGCAGGACTTGAACCTGCGCACTCAGAGAGTAACAGATTTCTAGTCTGTCGCCTTAACCGCTCGGC